AGCATCACTTGGAAACATTATTTGGGGTTCTCAATCTTATGGCTGGAAGTACCAAAGATTGGTTCTACCATAAATCAGTGTGAGACCTCATGTAGTGGAACTGGGATCATTCAAGAGTAGTACATTCCTACTTATTTACTGTCTTTTATTGAATGGGATGGAGAGAGATACTTGTGGAATTTTGTACCTGGTGGTTCAGCGGGTTAAACCACTGAGCTGCTGAACTTGGTGACCAAAAGGTTGCTGGTTTGAATCCAGAGAGCGGGGTGAGCTCCCGCTGCTAGGCCCAGCTTCTGCCAACCTAGCAGTTCGAAAACATGCAAATATGAGTGGATCAATAGGTACCGCTTTGGCAGCAATGTAACGGCACTCCGTGCAGTCTTGCTGGCCACGTCCTTCGAGGTGTCTATGGACAACACCGGCTCTTCAGCATAGAAATGGAGATGACACCTCTCCCCAGAGTTGGACACGAGTAGACTTAATATCAGGGAAAATCTTTACCTTTGTGACTATAACATGGCTCATTTGGGTACTATGCACTTCACACCTGTTAAACCCAAGGCCATGTCAGTTCCTGTATTCCTCATCATCAGACATCATGACTACAGCTGACTGGAGTTGGGATACAGTAACATCTGGAAGACGGCAGTTTGTTCTGTTTAGTCAGGAGAGTGGGGTTTGGACCTTAACACAAGGCTTGTAGGTATGATGTCTGAGGGCCCTTTTGCACAGTCTTATATCCCAGAATATCAAGACTAAAAATCCCCCAAAATCCCACATTATCTGAGTGTGGACTCCAATAACCCAGGGATTTTCTGCCTTGATATTCTGGGATATAGGGCTATGTGGAAGGACCCTGATTTTAAAATTTCAGTTAACCTTTCCCCAACCTCAGAGCCACAAGTGCTGTTGGGTTGCTACTCCCACTATCCCCGGTCTGCATGGTGAATACTCAAAAGGTATGGGAGGTGTCATTCAATAAGGTCTGGAAACCCCAATTGTGCAGCTATTATGTAAAAACATTCCTTTTTTTCTGTGTTAGGAGCAATTTGAGAAACTACATGTTGCTTCTGGTGTGAGAGAATTGGCCGTCTGCAAGGATGTTGCCCAGGGGATGCCTGAATGTATACTACCCTTTGAGAGGCTTCTCTCATGTCCCCACATGCAAAGTATGACAGATGGGAGCCCACCCCACTCCCCAGATTTTTTCTTTTGGTCGTGTCAGGAGCGACTTGAGAAACTGCAAGTCGCCTCTGGTGTGAGAGAATAGGCTGTCTGCAAGGACGTTGCCCAGAGGACGCCCAGATGATTTGATGTTTTTATCATCCTTGTGGAAGGCTTCTCTCATGTCCCCGCATGAGGAGCTGGAGCTGATAGAGGGAGCTCATCTGCCTCTCCCCAGATTTGAACCTGCGACCTGTTGGTCTTCAGTCCTGCCGGCACAGGGGTTTAACCCACTGCACCACTGGGGGCTCCTACTCCCCAGATAAAAACATTACATAATATCCACGGATTCTTCATCCACAGATTCAACAGCCCTTTGAAGGCAACCATAAGGTTGATGTGGCACTCGAGGTAAATGAGTTCGACACCTCTGTTTGCTTGACTCGTGCCAGGATGGTAGGGAAGGTTTTGTTTTATCTCCGATGAGAAGTTATCCCACTCCAGTGACAACAGAAAACCATTTTCTACAAAGTGTCTTGTGGAACACAGTTGGGGATAGGAGGTACCACATCTGTTTGTGCAAAAGGCAATGAGGCTGGCTATCACTGTGTGGACAATTGTATTCTACAACCTCTGTCAGGGCTTCACTCTTAATCCTACAGAGCATTGTCGAGCGATAAGAAATGAAGTGAAGCCACTTGAAAACCACAGTTATAAGATAGGTGGTTGTTCCCAGTGTTGGTCTTTCCCAACGTTGTACTACAAGCTTCCATTGTTCCTGAGCTTTCGTTATACTGGATGGGGCTACTGGGAGTTGTAATTTAACAACATCAGGAGGGCCACACTTGCCCCATCCATGTTGAAAGAGAAGATGGTTTTGAGATATATGGCATGATATGGTATGATATGATTCACTCCCAATGAAGCTATATGACCAGTTGGGTTTTAGGCCAATCGGTTAGGAAAAGGTGGTGCCGATGATAGTGCTAAAGATAATAATGGCTTTAGGAGTAAAATACAAACAGTGAATATTAATACATAGCTATTCTTGCCCTTCAGCATAGAGAACACTTGCTTCTACATCTGATTGTCCTAGAGGGACATGTTTGTGCCAGATTCTTGCTTTCCTGGCTAAAATTATCCACTTCCCATAAAGTGAGAGCAAAATGTTCATTTATCATTGTTTCATTGACGTCTCCTCACGGCTGGAGAAAAGAAAGCACTCTAATTGATTTTAGTAATATCGTCCTCCTTTCCCTCAGTCCAGTTAGCACAAGCATTATGTTTTGTGAAACCATTATGCTAGCTACATATGTACATTTGAGAAGATAAGCTTTAAGCATTGAATATAAGGTCTGAATACAACATCTGTAAGAACTCATAGAATCATAGAGTTGGAAGAGACCTCATGGGCCATCCAGTCCAACCCCATTCTGCCAAGAAGCAGGAATATTGCATTCAAATCACCCCTGACAAATGGCCATCCAGCCTCTGCTTAAAAGCTTCCAAAGAAGGAGCCTCCACCACACTCTGGGGCAGAGAGTTCCACTGCTGAATGGCTCTCATAGTCAGGAAGTTCTTCCTAATGTTCAGATGGAATCTCGCTTCTTGTTGTTTGAAGCCATTGTTCCGCGTCCTAGTCTCCAGGGCAGCAGAAAACAAGCTTGCTCCCTCATCCCTGTGACTTCATCTCACATATTTATACATGGCTATCATATCTCCCCTCAGCCTTCTCTTCTTCAGGCTAAACATGCCCAGCTCTTTAAGCCACTCCTCTTAGGGCTTTTTCTCCAGACCCTTGATCATTTTAGTCGCCCTCCTCTGGACACATTCCAGCTTGTCAATATCTCTCTTCAATTGTGGTACCCAGAATTGGACACAATATTCCAGGTGTGGTCTAACCAAGGCAGAATAGAGGGGTAGCATGACTTCCCTAGATCTAGACACTATGCTCCTATTGATGCAGGCCAAAATCCCATTGGCTTTTTTTGCCACCACATCATATTGTTGGCTCATGTTTAACCAATATCTTTTTCCTCATGTACATGGTACCAACGTAAATGCATTTTGTACTGTTGCAAGTGCAGATGTTACAATTGGGGTGTGCAAGTGTTTTTGTGTCAACAAACAACACAGGGTTGAGAGAGCTGTCCTTTATGCTCTTACTAGCTCCAAATGCACTGCCAAAATGCATTATTATTGAACCCATTTCCAAATCAACAGCTAATGCAGTGCTGGCATATAACAGATATCAATTTTAACCTGCATTTTCAGTGCAACCATTTATGCAAACCAACTCTACTTTTTTGCTTGGTTTGCTTAATCTATACTATCAATCATGCAATTAAGGTTTCAGAAGTAACTCTGATAGATGGCTTATCATTTGTCAGGCTGCTATATATATATAAGTAATCTGAGCTACAGTCTTTTGTAGGGGGAGGAGTATAGCTGAGGCTAGTGGTAAATCACTTGCTCACATTCCAACAACCCCAGTTTCAATATCTGACATTACCAGCTAAAACAAGAAGACAGGCACCAGGAAATTGCCCCTGGAGAAGTACAGCTAGCCCTCCCATATTATCTGGGGTTAGGGGAAAGGACCTCCACAAAAATGGAAAAAAGTGGATAGCTTTTTAACTTGAGAAAATACCTTTTCGGGAATCTCTAGGTCCTCTAGTGCACTGCATCTTAAACTGTGGGACCTGACCCCAAATGGGTCCCCTTCGCTCAGTGTTTCTCAACCTTCCTACTGCCGTGACTCCTTAATATAGTTCCTACTGTTGTGGTGACCCCCAACCAGAAGATTATTTTTGTTGCTACTTCATAACTGTAATTTTTCTACTGTTGTGAATCATAATGTAAATATCTGATATGCAAGATGTATTTTCATTCACTGGACCAAATTTGGCACAAATATCTGATACACCCAAATTTGATTTCTGGTGGGGTTCTGGGGAATTGATCTTGTCGTTTGGAAGTTGAAGTTGTTGGTATTTATAGTTCAAATACAATCAAAAAGCATTCTGAACCCCACCAACGAATAAATTGGGCCAAACCTCCCACACAGAACCCCCATGACCACAAGAAAATACCCTTATGACCCCCCCCCCCCCAGTGGTCCTGACCTCCCAGGTTGAGAAATGCTATCTTAGGTCAATGTTGGGGTCACAAAAATGTGTGGTGTGCCACCTAGTGGCTGTTTTAGGCATTTATACAATTTGCTCACATTTGTCTGTTTATACCAGTGGTTCTCAACCTGGGGTCCACATATGTTTTTTGCCTACAACTCCCAGAAATCCCAGCCAGTTTACCAGGTGTTAGGATTTCTGGGAGTGAAGGACAAAACATCTGGGGATCCGCACGTTGAGAACCACAGATCTAGGAGGATCATGCATCTGACTTTCACAGTGGATTCTGCAGAAAATGCTGTACTTCATAAAAAGGAAAATCAGCCTCTTTCACATGCCTTGCAAATGCTGACTTATTATCAGTAAATGTTTGATTTTATTCCTATTTTATATTTCTGTATACCTGGTGTCATATCAAAATCTTTCGGGCTGAAAGGGATTGCATGTGGAAAAATTTTTTGGTAGTCCTGCTCTAACACTATTCTATCTCCAATTCAGTAATACAGCAACTAGTGGAAGTAAAAAACAAAATGACAAACACAAAATTGGCATGTCACCTTCTTTAACCTAGTATACTATCAAGGTAGTTTTTTGTTGTTCTGTCTAATGCATTTTGTTATAAAAGAGGATGCACTATTTTAACCCAAATATTTCTTATGGAAGTGTGAACACCACACCCTCAACCATCTTTTTCTTTTCTTTCCATAGAGATACACTGGCAACAAAGGACCGTACTGACATTACCGCTTCCCATTCCCTCAGTTCAGAGCGTCTCAGGTCTGACTTGCAGTATGACAAAGCAGGAGGAGTTAAACTACGGCTAAAGAACAGGTGAGGACAGAAGGGTTTCTGCAGGCACCAGTTCAGCTGCACTTGTTTTTCCTTCTTCCATGCATTTGACCCATTCTCCTTAAATAAGATTTTTTGGGGTACTCTGTCCTGATTTGGTTAGATAGATGCTGATATTCAAGACATCTGATACATAAATGAGTTTCTGGTAATTGAGTTTGCAGCCTTATCTTACTAATACTGCTTTTAACATACTTATGAAAAAACTAGCTGTAACCACCATGCGTTGCTGTGGCCAACCTTCCCTCCCTCTTTCTCTCCTTCCTTCCCTCCCTCTTTCCTTTCTTTCCTCTTTTTCTTTCCTGACTCCTTTCTCTTCTTCTTTCTTCCTTCTCTATCTTTCTTTCCTTACTTCCTTTGCTCTTTGGTTCCATCCTTCCTTCTCTATCCTTCCTTCCTTCCCTCCCTCTTTCTCTCCTTTCTTCCTTCTCTACCTTTCCTTCTCTCCTTCTCTCCTTCCCTCCTTCTTTCCCTCTTTCTCCCCTTCCTTCCTTCCTTCCTTCCTTCCTTCCTTCCTTCCTTCCTTCCTTCCTTCCTTCCCCCTTTCTGTATATATGTGTGTTGTGTGTGCATATATGTGTGTATATATTTCTGTATATATTTGTGTATATGTGTGTTTGTGTATATATGTGGTTTTGTGCATGAGTTGTAATGTATTTTTGTTTGTGGGTTTTTTGGGGCTTTTAAAGTCTCTTCCACTGTGTTTTTCAGTGTTTAATGAGTGATGGTCACTTGTTGGCCTGATAGGTGTATTGTATCCAAATTTGGTGTCAATTCGTCCAGTGGTTTTTAAGTTATGTTAATCCCACAAATGAACATTACATTTTTATTTATACAGATTGTATATTTCCCTCTTTTTATTGCATCTATTTTTCTCCCACTTCTATGTTAAACAAGGCTTGCAGGGAGCATGTGTCTTGTTTTGGAGACAAGTTTTCCTTCCAGGAGCACAAAGGGGTCTTACGACAGTGTTTCTCAAACTTCCTAATGTCTCGAACCCTTAATACATGTTGTGGTGATCCCCAAACACAACATTATTTCAGTTGCTACTTCAGAACTGTAATTTTGCTACCGTTTTGAATCATAATGTAAATATCTGATATGCAAGATGTATTTTCATTCACTGGACCAAATTGGGCACAGATACCCGATATGCCCAAATTTGAATACCGGTGGGGTTGGGGAGGGATTGATTTCATCATTTGGAAGGTGTTTGTAGTTCACCTACAACCAAAGAGCATTCTGAACTCCACCAATGATGGAATTGGTGGAGTTCAGAATGCTCCTTGATTGTAGGTGAACTATAAATTCCAGCAACTACAACTCCCAAATGACAAAATCAATCCATTCAACCTCACCAGTATTCAAATTTGGGTGTATTGGGTATTTGTGCCAAATTTGGTCCACTGAATGAAAATACATCCTGCAAGTGAGATATTTACATTACGATTCATAACACTAGCAAAACTACAGTTCTGAAGTAGCAACAAAAATAAAATTATGGTTGGGGGTCACCACAACATGAGGAACTGTATTAAGGGATCGCGGCATTAGGAAGGTTGAGAAACACTGCTCTATTGCAACTCACCAAGAGAAATGGAGAAAGAGAGATGCCAAAGACTACATTAAAAACCCATTGCATTATCCTCCATAGCTCCTTGCATATGGAACTGGTTAAGCCTGGTTAAGGAGGAGGCTGAGATGTTATGTTGTGTCTGAGCCAAATTCCCTTGATGTAAATATCCCGTGTTATATCATTCCATCTCTCTTGGTGGAAAACATAATCACCAAGATTGTGTCAGGGCAGTTACACCTTTGGCTCGCACGTCCTTCCTGGCCAGTCATCCTCCTCCAACACGGAGCCAGGGAGAGGAGACAGAGCCTGGGTCAAATTCTGTGGGCAGAGCAAAACATCTGGATATTGACAATGCGTCTTTGGAGCTATCTTGGTAAAAAAATATCTAGGAAAAGGCTTGCTGAAACCCAGATGAATGATGTCCCTAAGAAAGAAGCATCTGGTGGAAGGAAATCCAGGTGTGGTTTGGTTGTTTTCCAGCTTCCTCTCCTTTTTATGACTGTTGTTGTATTTCTCTTATTCTTTTTCTCTTCCCTTTCCTCACTCTACCCCCATTCTTCAGTGATTGTATGTAGAGGTTCAGGAGACTGGTGGAGTTGGGAACCTGGTGTCATTGTTATTGATTTCAACTGGATGATGCTTAACTCATTGGTACTCGTCTGTTCTAAGGTCCAAATAAGTATCTTAAATCTAAAGTGGCTGGTCACATCTTGTCTTTCTGGTAGTTGGAACAGCAAAGAAAGCTGCAAATGAAATTACTGCCTGACATTTATGAAGTAATACTTGAGATTACAGCCTATGGGCAGGATACAGCATGAGCAGGATACAGCATTGTCAGGCTACTGAAGGAACTGCTTCCATCAGAGATATCAGGAGCTAGGAATGTCCTATCAAAGTAATGGATGTTCCCTAGTGAGATGCAAAATTTAGCCTGTTTCCCTGTATGTACTATGTTGCTTTTCTAGTTTTCATTCCATTTAGTATGTGATGTAGGTTATACTGAGTGGGCAATGACCTTGGAGCCTGGAATGTCGCTTTGAGTCTCCTTAGGTAGAAGGTAAAAGTTTTCCCCAGACATTAAGTCCTGTTGTGTCCGACTCTGGGGGTTGGTGCTCATCTCCATTTCTAAGCATTGTCCATAAACACCTCCAAGGTCATGTGGCCGGCATGACTACATGGAATGCCGTTACCTTTGCGCTGGAGCAGTACCTATTGATCTACTCACATTTGCATGTTTTTGAACTGCTAGGTTGACAGAAGCTGGGGCTTACAGCAAGAGCTCCCCAGATTCAAACCTGCAACCTTTTGGTCAACAAGTTCAGCTCAGCTAGGTTGACAGATACTGGGACTGACAACGGGAGCTCCCTGGATTCAAACCTGCGACCTTTCGGTCAACAAGTTCAGCAGCTCATCCAGGTTGGCAGAAGCTGGGGCTGACAGTGGGAGCTCCCCGGAAACAAACCTGTGACCTTTCAGTCATTGGTTTAACCCGCTCTGCCACTGGGAGTTCCATTTCTCTCCTTAATGGTGAGAAAAACTGGGGTATAAACAAACATAATAATAATGTCATATCCTCTCCAAGTTTTCCATCCCAGCAATGAACAAAAATACATGTTTTACTTCTGTCCTTCCCCAAATGGTAATGCATCATTCCCAGTTACCATCTTGAGTAGGATGTAAACCAGTGGTTCTCAACCTGTGGGTCCCCAGATGTTTTCATCTTCAACTCCCAGAAATCCTAATAGCTGGTAAACTGGCTGGGATTTCTTGGGAGTTGTAGGCCAAAACACTTGGAGATCCACACGTTTGGAACCACTAAGGGATTTGGACATTGAGTGTCTTTTCTTGGTTTTTTTTTTAAGTTGGATTTTTAATGATATTTCCATGCAAAATTGATTTCAAACTAAGTATAATGTAAGAACATTGGAGGCTGGGGAGCTTTGGAAGACTGCTAAGGAGATTCAGAGCCTGCAGAACAGAGCTTTCCTTCTCCTTTGAAAGATAGGAAGCAGCCTTATACTGTGTTGACCATTTGCTCTTCTAGGCAACTATTGTTTGGCTTTCTAGGGTTTCGGTATTCTTCCTTAACCCTGCGTAGAAATCACTGGTATAGCCTAGTGGTCTCCCATACAAATATTAACTAGGTTGAAATGATAGTAAAGGTAAAGATTTCCCCTAGATATTAAGTCTATCCAACTCTGAGTGGTGGTGGTCATCTCCATTTCTAAGCTGAAGATTGAGCTCCTGATGGCGCAATGGGTTAAACCCATGTGCCGGCAGGACTGAAGACTGACAGGTCGCAGGTTCGAATCTGGGAGAGGTGGATGAGCTCCCTCTATCAGCTCCAGCTCCTCATATGGGGACATGAGAGAAGCCTCCCACAAGGATGATAAAAACATCAAAAATCATCCGGGTGTCCCCTGGGCAACGTCCTTGCAGGTGGCCAATTCTCTCACACCAGAAGTGACTTGCAGTATCTCAAGTCGCTCCTGACACGACAAAAAAAAAAGAGCTGAAGATCTGGCATTGTCCATAGACACCTCCAATATCATGTGGCCAGCATGACTGCATGGAGCACCATTATCTTACCGCAGAAGCGATACCTATTGATCTACTCACATTTACATGTTTTCAAAGTGCTAGATTGGCTGAAGCTGGGCCTAACAGTGGAAGCTCACCCCGCTCCCCAGATTCGGACTGCCAACTTTTTGGTCAGCAAGTCCAACAGCTCAGCAGTTTAACCTGCTGCACCACCAGGGAACCATGAAAATGATACGCTTAGCTTAAAAAATCAGATGAGGGTGGTATGATGGAACTATTGTGCTCTGATGATGCTTTTCCAATCACTGGATGAATGAGGCAAACTAAAGATGAGACCTTCAAAGTAGCCATGTATGTCAATAAGAGAGCTTTAAATAGAAAGGTAAATAAGAGGAATGCCTTACCTCCTTGTCCCTCTGTGCCTCCTCTCCACCACAGGATATCCTGGTTCTGCCCTGTTTGTATGTTTTCTTTCTCATCCTCCCCCACATTTTATTTTCCCATGTCTGAATGTGTTGGCAGATACTGGCAGCATGTGGATGTCAGGATACCTGGGTGGAGTAGTTTCCTTTCTTGACACACACCTAGATCCACATTCAGAGCCTGTTTTTTTTTTTAAAAAAGAAAGCCATTGTATACTCACACAACACTGGAATCGCACAGGTATGTGTTATTAAAAAACAAATGGAAAAGAATTTCCTCATGCTATGCATATCTAAAGCCAGGTGTTTGCTTTTGCAGACTAGTCCTGAACAGGCAGCCTGTTCAATAATATTATACTATGTGACATGATTTTTGTTCCTGGGTTATAAATGTCATTTCCTAATTGGATCTATCATAAAAACATGGGAAAAGTTTATAAAAT